AACGAGTGCTACAGTTTCATCTAAAATAGTCCCCAAAGGGTTCACGTGCTCAGAGGCAGGGTTTAGGGTGATGATTAGATCGTGGAGCACCAAGTTCATCATGGGCTAATCCATTGATGAATTTATAATTCTGTGTGCCATTAGCAGATGTGGCCTGGTTGAAGGAAATAGCTCACGGGAGGTATGACTTTGAAAGGTACTGGATGTCACTTGCCTGGCTCTTATTCCCCTGTGCTGTGCTTCCTTGCTGCAATGGGTTGTAAGTTTTCTCTGCCACACACTTGTGACATGATTTCTCAGTCATGGGGCAGCCTGCTGTGGGCTGAAATCTCTGAAACTGTGAGCCCAAATGGACTTGTCTTCTGAGCATATCAAGTATTTTGTACCAACAGTAAAAAGCTGAATGCTATAAAAAGGAAAAATTTATCAACAGTTAGTTAATGTGATTCCACATGCGATTGCTTTTTAGAAAACAATTACAAAATTTGCACAAAATGCAAAGGAAGGTCCAGGGATATAGCTCAGCAGCACAGTGCCTGCCTGGCAAGCTCAAGGTTATGGGTTTGATTCCTGGTACCAAAAAAAAAAAAAAAAAAAAAAAAAAAAAAGTGCAAAGGAACACAAAGTTAGGTGTGTGTTTTATAATCCCTGAAACAACTAATGTGTAACAGGGATATAACCCCAATAAGTAAACAAAATGCAAAAAATAAACAAATGCAAGCAGATAAGCATAAAAATGATAAAATAATGGACATAAATCATTTACTACTACAAGTATACTAAATATTAATGTACTAAAGACACCAATTAAAAGTCATGTTAAAAAAAGACCCAAATCATATTGATAGATATGGAATAAAAAAAGGCCAAATGTATACCATGTATACACCGATCAAAACAAATTTGGAATTGTTTTGTTAATATTAGACAAAGTAGACTTCAGAGTGAGGGAAAATCCATAAATGGTATCCTAAAGGAAAAAATGGACATCATTAAAACCCTAAAATGGATCAATTCCTGAAATAACAGAAGGTAATTCACCAGGGGAATAAGAAAATTTAGTAGTGTAAGCGGAGCATCTCTCATGTAAAAATTTTAGATTTGAAGTTATTTAAAATATAAAAGTTTTTGAGCATCAATATGACACCATGGGTTGAAAATTGCATAACAGCAGGGCATGAAGGCACATGCCTGTAATCCAAGCACGGGGAAAGCTGAAGCAGGAGGATCATTGCCCTGCGTCTAGGCTAGCTTAAGCATAAGCAAGTTCAAGGCAGCCTGCACTACATAGGGAGACCCTGTCTCACCCCACAAAAAAACCCCTGTAACAGGTTGCAGTCACAATGTAAGCAGAGTAAGGTTGGGGATGTAGCTCAGTAGTAAAGAGCTTGCCTAGCCTGGGATGGAGCCCTGTCTTCAATCCTTATTAGTGCCATAAACACAAAACTAAATAAGTGGATAAAGTGCCATCTATGTGTATAAAGTGTTTGTGAAACATAAATGAATTTTTTGTTTAGATATGAGTCCTGTCCCTTAATATCTCATTATATATATCAAATATTCTGAAAATATCTGAAATCCAAAATCCTTTTGGTTTCAAGTATATTAGATGCTCAAAACTGTAATTTAAAACCTTCAAAGAGAGTCTGTAAAAGTTTTATTTTCAAATATTTAAAGAAGAATTATAAAAATTATAATTTTTTTGTTATTTTTGTAGTAGAAAGTGGCAGAATAAGGACATTTTCCAGTTCATTCTTTGAGAATTTTCCCTATAACAATACCAGAACAGCATGTTGTTGGGGCGTGGGGTACTAAATACTCTGAGTTGATCACTATGCAAGGTATACATGGTCAGAACTTTACACTTTACCTATCTCTGTAGAGATACTACACCATTCAGAGAGATCATCTAGTAGCATATAGTATTATCCCAGGAATTTATAAAGTTTTTTCAGTATTTGATCATATTGCTAAAAATGCCATACTAGGGTGGGCATGGTGGTGCACACCTGTAATCCCAGCACTTGGGAGGCTGAGGCAGGAGGATCAACATAACTTTAAGGCCACCCTGAACTACCCCGTGAAACCCTATCTTGGAAAAAAACCCTAAAAAACCAAAACCCCCAAAACCCGTATTAAGTAAATGAGGTACATATGCATAGTAGAATACTATTTAGCCATAAAAACAGTGAAGCTGGCTGGGGATTTAGCTTAAAGGCATAAGTGCCTGCCTTGCAAGTGTCTGGTCATGAGTTTGATCCCCAGTACAAAAAAATAAAAAACAACAGTGAAGGCTTGTCATTTGCACTAGCAAGAATACAGTTGGAGATTGTTTGAAATAAGGCTCAGAAACACAAGTACCATGTGATCTCATTTATGCATAGCAGCTTAAGTTGAGAGTAGAGTGATAATTAATAGAGGCTTGGAGCGTTGTGAGGAGAGACGGCTGGGGAAAGTTTGCTTAGTGAGTAGTACCCTAAGTTACACTTAGGAACAGGACTCTGGCTGGCTGGCTGTCATTCAGTATGCTGGCTCTGTGAGGGCTGATGCAAAATACTGTCAACTCTGGGGCATGTGCCAGCCAGTGAAAAGGCAGGGACCTTCAGCAGGAGAAGCAGAGCCCTGAGCTTTAGTACCAGATGTGTAACAAGTTTCCGTGTGTTTGATGCAGTTGATTGTGAGCTACTTTTGAGAGAAAGTGTGTTTCACAGTGTGCCATAAATTACAGATCCCAACATATTAACATGTAATTTTGTCATTTTAATTGGAGTTGTGAGATAGTGCTGCTTTAGATTTCAGCTTTTTAAGAAATGTCGTCATGAGAGATGAAACTTAGATTTGTGTGATTTAGATTTTATTGTGAGACCAAGCTTCCCAATGAATGACAGCGAGTGCTCATATGAAAAAAGTACATCATTCAAGATGCAACATTAAGGTGATATTGATTGTGTTTTTTGACCTTGATGGAATTATGGGAGCTCGATTGATACTTAGGAAGACTACAGAGAGCTCTAAATATTGTCAGAGCTTACTACAGTATTTAAGAAACTGTACATAGAAAATGACCTGAGAATTGGGTTTTAGTGTCTTATGATAATGTCTGCTATGGACATTTCTGTGCTGTGTCTTCATCCACTTTATTCACTGGCTCTGACACTGCAACTTCTGGCTTCTCTCCAAAGTCAAAATGAGCGTGAAAGGAAAAGATTTTAAACTGACTCAGGACATCAAGGCAGCCAGGACAGTACAACTAAACATGCTAATGAGACTGGACTTCCAGATTTGTTTCATAAAATGGCTAGAATGATGGGATGAGTGTGTTTGAAAGGAGGAGGAGTATTTTCAAGGGGATAAATGGCTAAAAGTAAAGATGCACTTTTAGTACATTTTAAAAAAGTAAGTACTGATCATATTTTTGATAACAATAATGTGTTCTTCACAAAGCTAGATCTTGCAAGTTTTCACCATAGAGAAATAATAAATGTTTGAGGAAATAGGTGTGTTCAAGTGGATTCAAACTTTATATAGCACATACATGTGTTAAACCATCATGTTTTGGCATTAATGTATAAACTTTCTATATCTATGTATCACTTAAAATGTATTTAATAAATTAACTAATGAAAAATGGATGCAGCTTTGTTAGTTTGTATTGTATAGTTTACTTTTGGTCCTGGAGATTGAGTTCAGGTCTCCTCTCATCCTGAATCAGCCCTCTCCAGATGCAGTTTTAAATCTCCAAATCTCCAAATCTCATTTGCAGAAATACGGTCCTTTATAACTTGTGTTCATTGGGTATAGAAATTTGATGAGTGTATTATTTTCTGGGTCAGAGTGTGACAGTGGTGGCAAACCATGCAGGCGTGCAGCAGCAGGCTGTTTATATCACTGAAAACTCTGTTGCTGTGTTTTTAACCTATGAGTTGTTTTTTCTAAACTGAAACCTTGGTATTCAGGTTTAATTTAGTGTTGGCACTTGGTGATAGAGAAGTAAGTGGGTTTTAAGTTGCAATTTGAGCATTCGGTCTTTAAAAGATGTGCTGTCTGTCACTGGTTTAAGAACTGTGATTTGAAAACAAAAACCAAAAGCAACATCATAAAACTTTTAGAAAAAACTGTAAATCTTAATGACCTTGGATGACATCAAAATGAAGAATCAAGGGGCTGGGGTTTTAGCTCTGTGGCATAAGCGCCTGCCTTGCAAGCAGGCAGTCGTGAGTTCAATCCCCAGTACTGATAAAAAGGAAAAAGAAAAAAAAATGAATAAAAATGAAGAATCAAGTCTGGGAAAGGCACCCTATTGGCAGTTTCAATAGATATCATGGCAGCACTGAGACAAATTTCATTTAAGTTTTTGAATCAAGTTTCAACTGTGTTGTTGAGGCTAGACAGAACTTGAGAGTTTGAGTGTCTTCACCTCCTGAGTAACTGAGCTTAGCAATGTGCGGTGCCACACCCACCTTGGTAGAGAGAAGTTTTAAGCTGGTGAAATAAGTACGGGAGATTAGTAATTTGACCAGTTAATATTCTGTCACTTAGAATTCAAGTTGGGAGAAATTACAAGAAGTGAGGGTCAGTTTTAGTTCTGTGGAGCAATATCATTTTCACAACCATTCAAAAAACATTATGTGAGTCATGCCAGCCTGAGCTACATAGTGAGTTCAAGGCCAGTCTGAACTACGTAGCAAGACCTTGTCTCAAAAAAAAAATTATGTAATGATGACTTCTGTAATCTAAGGCATATAACATCTCTCAGCAAGTTGTAGGAAGACAGCATAATGTTTTACTGTTATTTATATTTTGTTGCTTTAATGCTGGGGCACTAAACTGGTATTCACAAGAAAAATATATTTTGATTTAACTTTTTGAGAATTTTTATTCCCTTAGTAATTTTTTGATTAATAATATTTTAAAATATGTATAGTTTTAAAAAGTATTTTTCCCACGTTTATAGTCATTTGTATTTTTAACTTTTTTTTTTTTTTTTTTTGGTCTTCCAGGAATGCTGTTAGTGACAACAGATACACTTGGCCATGACTTTCATGTCTTCCAAATTCTGACACATCCTTGGTCCTCCTCACAAAGTGCTGTCCACCATCTGTACACTCTTCACAGGGGTGAAACTGAAGCCAAAGTAAGTTGTTAATTTTTCAGAAGGTTGATTTCTTTGTGTAATATGATATCTAATCTGGTTGGTTATTTATATCACATTGGAACTCAATGTTTGTGCGAAACTATTGTTCTCTGAGAGAGTAGGTTAGATTAAATTTTAAAAATATCCTGTTTGACCCGGTAAATACATAAGCAATAGATTAACACCTTATAATTAAAAATTCAGTGAATAATTTTTTTGGAATTCTGTCTCATTGCTATCCTGTCTTGTTTTTTTAAATTAAAAAAAAATCCACAAAAAACAAAAAAAGTAAGTCATTTTGTACTGCATTTCCCAAACTAATGCCATTTCTTCCTCCAGAGAAAACTTCTCTCATTCAACTATTTCTCCAAAATTAGCAGTTTGATTTTACACACATTTGTACGCACATGCATACATACACACATATTCATATATATATCGATATATATGTATATATATCAATATATATGTATGTATCAATACATATATGTATATATATCATATATATATATATACACACACACACACACATACGCATCTCACAAATACACAAAAATAATTCACTTTCATAAGTATGGGAGATGAGTAGACATTAGCGGTCCACAGTGGCTATTGAAACTGTATCTCTCCCCCTACCCAGCATCAGTTGGTGCTGTCACTGTGGTGGTGGGATGTTATATTTGATGAAGAAAATGGACAAACACTGCAAGTCATTGAGGGGCTACTTTTTCTCCAGAGAACCAGTTTTTAAATGCTTGTACATACAACTACATAAACATGCATGGTCATACACACACACATTCATAATTCACTGGGTAGGGTATTGTATACCAAGTTAAATGATTTAAGTGTATTTTTTGTTTAAACGTATACTTAATATTTTTAATACTGCTGTGTGTAGGGACTGTATATTACCTTAAAAACCTAAAATCCCAAATAGCCTTTTGTTTCACAGAGCTGTTGTTGATGTATTTATACCACCATATGTGTGTCACTCTAGGTTACAGCCTGTTGACCTGTGCTGTTTGGTGGATAGTCCTTTTTTTCTCAACAGTCTATAAAGTACTGTTTCTCTTCAATTCTCACCAAAGCAAATGATGAAACATCTTAAGTACTGTATATAGGAATGGAGGAATTCAAAATGACACATAACAAAAAAGTCGGGTAGCTTATTACTAACTATTCTGAATATTGATAAAGTATCCAACATTTATCCTGCCTTGCTTCTGTCAACCACATAGTTAATGAGAGAATGGCTTTCTGTTGAATTCCAACATAATATAATAAGTAATAGAAAATAATTCTTTTCAATTATGGGCCTACTCAGTAATCATCTGTGTTAGCTGTTAGCTGTTTTAGCTGATGAATCTTAGCATTACTCAATCATATATTGTGTGCTTACCAAAATGAAGTAATAGGCTATGCACATCATTAATGAATTACTCTTGCCCCACCCTTTAAATTAAACCTGTATCTAATTTAGCTTCTGAATATGTTTAGCACTCTACAGAAAATACGTAAATGAGTGACAACACCCTCAGAATGCGAATAGCTGGTTCTAAAATGCAGAAAGTAAATGTCATTTAAGTGGTGGCTCATTCCATTTGTAATCCCAGCCTTTGGGAGGCTGATGCAGGAAAATGGGCCATGAATTCAAAGCCTTTCTGGGCTACATTGTAAGTCCAGAGCCAGCCTAAACTATGTGACAATCTATCTCAAGCCTTGCCCCCTAAAAAGTGACCTAACTTTTTAAACAAGTAATTGTAATGGGAAAATAAAAGTTGGTTTGCAGTGGGGGAAATACTGTTACAGATTAAAGGAAATATTGAAGAATGTCATCTAAGTGCAAAGTGTGGATTTCTTTGAAGCCTCTTATAGAAACCCAGGTTAAAAGATATTTTTTCATATAAATAGTTATTTATTCATTTTGTAGTGGGGAATGAACCCAGAGCATTGAGCTACATTCCCAACACTTATTTTATTTTAGAAACCAGAACAGAAAAAAAAGAATAGAAATGATAGAGTTTCAAAAAAACTAGGAAATTAACAGTAGTTAATATATTGCATATTGTAATCTTAGAAGTTATAATTTTTATTTTGAGACAGAGTTTTGCTAAATTCTCAGGCTGGGCTTGAAGTTGATCTTCCTGTCTCAGCTTCCTTACAGTGCTGAGAGAGGTTTTTATTTTTGACTTATTAAATAAAGAATTTAAAGTCCTTAACATTTAGCAAGACAGTATTGTAAGAGATACAAAAATAATCTAGAACTTAAAGCAAAGTGATCTAGCAGTAAAACAGGTTTGAGGAGGTGATACAACAACAGCACAGGAAAAAGCAGGGAGGGTTCTGTTGATTACAGGAGATACATGAAACACATCATGTGATGGAATGTGTGAACTTTGTCCCTAAGTTAAAAAGAAAAGGAAGAGACTTTTTTGAGACAGTATTACCCCGGATCTGGATCTTACATGATATTTATTAAGTATTATTAACTTGCTGTGTGTGTAATTTATATTGTAGTTACATTAAGAAAATCTTTTTATGTCAGGCATACAACCTGAAGTATTAACAGGTCAAATCATATGATACTGCTAATTTGTGTTAAAATTTTCTGTCAAGATAAAGAAATGACATAGATTCATAAGATTTGTAATGTGTTAATAAGTACTGAAGATTGGTGATGTCCATATAATGTGGTGCTTTTTAACATTTCGTTTATGTATGGAAAGTCTCTAAAAGAATGTAAAAATAAAACCCTTTAACAGCATATGCTGTTTTGTTTATTTTAGCTTTATAACATGATTTACTGTTCATTTTTTAGCTTTCCCTATTATCTTTAGGTTAACTTTCTTGAGTTCTATAACTAATTTTGTGTTATATAAATAATCTTTTTTGAGACAGCGTTTTACTGTGCTGTTCAGGATGGCCTTAGACTCATTTTGTAGCCCATGCTGGCCTCAAACTTGAGTGATCCTCATGTCTCATCCCTCCCAAGTGCTGGGATTGCAGACATGCAGCACCGGGTTCATTTTAAAAAATAAAATCTACCTTGGATTCTTGTGTTCTTAAGCTCTTTCACAGATCTAGGCCTTTTACCTGAGTCGTTTAAAAATTGACTGTCAAAATCATTATACTCAGTGTTTGAACATATATTTACTACTAATGATAAAACTCTTTGCAACCATAAGATAAACACCAAAATACAGATCCATAAATTTATGCCACCTGATACTCACACCCCATTTAAGTTTCACCAGTTGTCCTAATAATGAACAAAGGGGTCTGGTTTTAGGAAACTTTATTGTCATATGTTTCATTGTGGAGTAGTTCATCATTATTTATTTACTATTTATGATTTCAGTAATTTTAAAAATTGTAGCCTATGCCTCAGTATTTTTGTCTGGTAATTTTCTCATGACTAGAGTTAGGATTTTTTTTTTTTTTTTTGTCTTTTTTGTTTTTATCGGTACCAGGGATCGAACTCACGACTGCCTGCTTGCAAGGCAGGCGCTTATGCTGCTGAGCTAAATCCCCAGCCCCCTAGAGTTAGGATATTTGCCAAGAATGTCAGAGAGGTGTTATTGTTCTCTTTGGATCCCATTAAATCGCCTATGATTTTCATTTATCTCATAATATAATTTTCAGCCCATAGATTTCTGTTTTATAAAATGTGTTCAGGCTGGGTATGGTAGTGTACCCCTGTAATCCCAGCACTTGGGAAGCTGAAGTAGGAGAATTGCTGTGAGTTTGAGGCCAACTTGGGCTACCTAGTGAGTTCAAGGCCTAGCTGAACCACATGGCAAGACCCTGTCTCAAAAACAAACAAACAAACAAACAAACAAAAAAGTGTTACTTCTTTAATCATCTTTAGTTTTATTCTTCAGAACATCCCAAATCTACCAGACGTGGTGGTGCACACATGTAATCCCCTCACTTGGGAGGCTGAGTCAGGAGGATTTGCATGAGTTTGAGGCCTGGACTACACAGCAAGACTTTGTCTTAAAAAAAAAAAAAAGAAAAAGTTCCAAATCTGACTAGTGGGAACCAATTAAGTGGGCATCTATATCTTTTGACATATTTCAATCATTTTTAAACCATTCCTTACTTTAAGTCACAACTAAGTTGCTGAATATGTAGTTCATTTTTGTTTCTTTTATGGAAGTTTTAAATGAAATGAGCATTTTAGGTAAAGATTAAATATTTCATTTCTTTTGTTCTTTATTAAACCTTGTCCTGTTCTAGTCCTTTGTCAGTGTACTCTACCTCATCTATAACCTTTAAATGTTTGAGTATCTAATATAATTTATTGATTTTTGAGACAAGGTCTTGCTATGTAGTTCAGGTTGACCTTGAACTCATTATGTAGCCCAGGCTGGCCTTGAACTCATTGCTGTCCTGCTTCAGCCTCCCATGTGCTGGGATGATAGGATTGTGCCACCACGCCCGGTTGTTTTGACTATTTTAAACACTTAAGACCTGCTTTTGATGTCTGGTTTTTGTTAGCATTATGTACTGTTTCATTTATCTGCAAGTTCATTCTGGAAATAGAAGTCCTGCTTGACTTTCTTGATGCCTCTAATCTTTAGAACAGTACGTAGTATTCATATTTAACAGGTAAGCAAAACAGATAGAATGTATTAAAATAATTTCACTCTGGGACACACATTGTAATTTGGAATTTTTAAACGGCAAGTATTAAGGTCTAAGCACTTCATTTGCGACCATAAAATTACTTTTTATAAAAGTCTATCTAAAATTACTTTGATGTGATAAAATTTAACACTAATCATTAAATATGTGTGGCATATGATCATCTAACCATCTTCGAATTCTTCAAAATCATATTATTTGAATTCTTCCAAGAACTCTGAGGGTACTTTAATCAGGCAGAAGGAAAAGTATGTGGATTTAATTATGTTGAATTAAGTTGTTTTGTGGTATTTGACTTGGGATATCCTCTGCATCTGACAGTAATTTTCTTCATGAAGCACATATGTAGT